AGTAAAGCGCTATACAAATACAGGCCATTTACCATTTTAAACCCCGGTGACCAAGCTTTTTGGCGACAGTGGGAAGGAAAAACTCCCTTTTAACAGGAAGAAACCTCCAGCAGGGAGGGGCGGCAATCTGCCACGACCTGTTGGGGTGAGGGGGGAAAGACAGGACAAAGGCACGCTGTGGAAGAGAGCCAGAGATGCTAATAAAATACACTTGATTAACTAATCATCAGCATGAGTGAGCACCTCTGTGAAAGCAGAAGTCGGTTCTGTTGGTTTGTTGGTTTGGAGCATTCAGAGGAAAGAAAAGCCATGATCTTAGAGAAGTGATGGTTGGAACAAGGGTTATAAGGTCATTTCCAAACAATTGAAAGTCCATTTTTCTACAGTGAGAAAGATTATTCACAAGACAAAAACATTCAAGATAGCTGCCAGTGTTCCCATGAATGGACACTTACGTCCCAGCAAAATCACTCCAAGGTCAGAGTGTGCAGTGTTCACAGGAACTACAAACTCTACGTGTCAGACTATACACGTCTAAGATGACATGTTAAATGTTAAAGTTCATGGCAATGCAATTAGAAAAAGACTGAACATGTGTAGCTTGTTTGGAAGTGCTATCAGAAAAAAGCCTGCTAGCTTAGGTTTGCAAAATTGCATCTGAACAAATCCCAAGACTTCAGGAACGATGACGTTTGGACAGACAAGACAAAAATGGAAATGTTTGTCTGCGATACATTTCACCATTTTTAGCAAAAACCGAACACAGCAACGCCTCATACCAACTGTCAAGCAGGTTGGTGGAGGGGTGACGATTTAGGCTTGTTGTGCAGCCACAGGACTTGGGCCCCTCACAGTCATTAAGTTGACCATGAACTCGTCTGTACACAAAAATATTCTCAAGTCAGATTTGCCTGACAGCTAAAACTTGGCCTAAAGTGGGTCATGGAACAAGACAGTGACACCATATTGGCCACGATAGATTTGCTGGAAAAAAAGAGTGGAGTGTTGCAATGGTTTAGTCAAAGTCTTATTGAAGTTCTGTGACGGGACCTTAAGACAGTTATGCATAAACAAATGGCTGCATTTCATTCATCTGCAATAACAGATGGATGCGACTTTCTTTTCTGCAAAGTTGGCTTTTTAAAAGAAAATTGTAAAATCAGTTAATAAGATCAATATTCCATTTTCGCTACCTCTAACTCCTATTTATTGTGTATCATGTGAGAACCTTTCAGTACAGTGTCATTAACCAATCACAGCAGATGGCCCCGCCCCTCCCTGAGCCTGGTGCTGCTGGAGGTTTCTTCCTGCTAAAAGGGAGTTTTTCCTTCCCACTGTCGCCAAAGTGCTGCTCATAGGGGGTCATATGATTGCTGGGTTTTTCTCTGTATGTATTATTGTGGGATCTACCTTACAGTATAAAGCGCCTTGAGGCGACTGTTGTTGTGATTTGGCGCTATATAAATAAAATTGAATTGAATAGGAATAAGATGTAGGACATATATTATATATTTCCTGTGAAGTATAACAGCGCACAATAACACCACATACCCTGAATACACAAGCGGTGCAGCTGCACACGAGAGGTTTTATTATGCCTGTAAACACACGCACCTTACACACACACACACACACACACACACAGGTTTTTATATATTTGTGGGGACATCTAATTGATATAATGCTTTCCCTAGCCCCTTGTCCAACCCAAAAATGAATGCCTAACCCTAATCGTTACCCTAAACCTATCCATAACCCAATTGTAACCCTTTCACTAAAACCGCATTGTGAGTCTCTACCTTGAGTGTGAGTGATGTTTTATTGATTAGCATTCAAATATCTCAGTGAAGGCAGAACAAAGATCTACCACAAAGCAAGAAAGCATGAGACAAGGCTAATCAAAAGGTATTGGCTGAAGCATTTGTTTATTACGCCAACCCCTTTAACAAAAGATCTTTTTGCATGCAGCTCCTGTACACAGGGCTCGAAGCAAATAATAAAACAAAGCACTACCAAATTTGTGCATTACCTCAGGTGAGGTAATGCACAAATTTCCCCGCCGTGGGATCAGTAAAGTCTTGTCTTAGCTTAAAAATGCCTTCAAACTTGTGGGGACCGGGATTTTGTCCCCATAAGGACTGTTGGTCCCCCCAAGTGTAGTAAACGTCGTTTATTTGGTCCCCACAATAATATGTAAACACACACACACACGGTCCTCGTTGTGGTGGTTTTACAGGCCTGTGCAGTAAAATCTTAAACACTTAAACTTAAACAGGATTTGATTCAGCTACTGTGCTGGAGTAGCAAACTTTGACAACTGATAAAAACCCATTAAGCGTGTATGATGTACTCCGCATGTCTGAGGTGTAGCGTTACAAACATTAACAGGACTTTGAATCATCTTTCAAATGACACAATGTGCATCTTAATTCAAGATGTGGATTCAAATAATGAGCCATTAAAAAAAAACATGCTCTTCTTTATCTTTGTTAAATATGTTTGTGAAACGTTTCCACCAAAATTGATAAAGCTCCAATTTATAGATGCTAAAAACGATCTGTACTCATGTGGTGCAAGAATGAGATGCAAAGAATGATGGGATATGAAGTCAGTTTACAAAGTAACACATTTAATTCAGTGACTTCTAACTTGTGAAAGATTTTTTAAAATGTTCTGTTTAAATTATATTTAATTCAGCCGTAATACTTAACGGGGAGGATTTTCTTATCCTGATTATAGGAATGATGATGATGATGATGATGAAATACGCTTATGATGCAGTTAAGTCCAGTCAGCAGTACCAAAATACCCATAATCACAGTAAATAACACAGATATTACAGCTTTGACGTAACAGGTATGCTAGCCTGTGCACTGACTGAACATTTTTCCTCCATATGGTAAACACAATCAAAGTACTTGTACGAGACTCTTCAGCTTTAGATGCTCTTTTTGAAGTACGATGTTAACATTTACTTCAGACAAAAAGCTCAAGCATAAACATCAAAGTGCGGCACACTCATATGGACGTAGCTATCCTAAATAGTGATGGCGATCCCAGACTGATCCTGGTGGAGCCATTTATCTGTAGTCTGGTCCTCGGTTCTGCTTGGCTGGGAGGTCTGGAATTTAAATGAGCCCTCCTAACTAGTGTTTCCTACTTGCAGCTGCATCTACAAACACACACACATACACACAAATCAGAATCACAACAGGTAGGTAGGACCCAGAACAACATAGCTAACATAGCTATGCTGTGTGAAGCTGTTTTCATATCACAGAAAGCAGTCTGCGAGCACAACATGTTATATTCCCAGGATTGGGATAAAACACATATCCTGTCAATCAGGAATTTCTGCAGGAGTGGAGAAAGCTAGCATTTAAGCCTCGTGGTAAAGTGGGGAATTCAGAGGAAGTACTCGAATGTGAAAAACCCTCTGCTGAATCAGTGTTTTTAAATATATAGTTCATTGCTTTCTTACATGTAATGTCCACCGACATTATTCCAAACGTCTCTCACTCTATCCGCTACACAAACGACACACTTAGACACACACACAGCTGTACAAGGCATATGTTTTGTCTATCTCGAAGGTAATGGAAATCCTTTTACCCCACTTTGTGTGCAGGAAGCACACACACACACACAGATTTATCATGCGATCATCTCTTTGTTGTGACTAGTACCAGTCCACGCAGACAAACAGACCTGATTGACTGAGAGCCTGTTAACGAGCTGTCAGTCAAACAGCAGGCTAATGCAGAACAGACCTGGACTGTCAGTCCTGAGGAGGGACGATGGAGATGGGTTTCTATGGCGATGATGCTGATGACGTATCAAAGTTAGCATGTTTTCTTGGACCTCGTCTGCAGCAGACGTATCATTAGTGTTTTTGTCACTCTTGTCCAGATTTAGCTAGTAAATCTGCATCAGTACAGACTGATAAGTTGCTAATTTGTTGGACTACACGTGCAAAAAAAGACAAATTCCGTCTCTATAATTATTCTTTCGATTCCTGTCTTTTAGGCGCAGTGTGAAGTGTGGCTGCACGGTCTACCGCCTGCGACTTCCTACCTGCTCTCTGTCCAGACGGTGGCCTACTGGGGTCAGAAGCGACTGAAGAGTCCTAGAGTGCAGCTTGTCTTCACTACCATCCCTCATGCAGGTAATGAAAGCAAACAGCTGTCCTGTGGGGCCAGGTGATTTGACTTTACAGTGAAGATGCCAAGTATATTTCTTCAATGCAAAAAGAGTAAAATTGCACAGAGGGGTGGGGTTATGTGCAAGCGCCATCCTGGAGCCTCCAACTGTCAGCAAGAAAGCAAATTTCCCAAAACGTCTGAAGCATTCATTTAATTTCAGTCAAGTATAAATGTGCTTTTTTTGTGGTGGGGCATGAGTGTGTGAGAGTGCATGGCAGCGCCACTGCTTCTCACAGCTGTAGTTCATTTTCAGTAATTATTTCTAGGTGAATATGTTTGTGCATTTGTATTACATAGTTTACCATAAATCCGAGCCATCTCTATCAAGAGTTTGGAGGATTACCATCGAGCCTTCAGTGGATTTTGGAGAGTTTTTGTCATGTGGAAATAAACATTGCAAATATAAGAGGTGCTAAATAAATGCAGCCTTCCTGGCCAAGTTTAAACTTTAGTGTTGTTGCGATTCAGCAAGAAAGCCAGCAATTATTAGTTACTTATTTTGAATATGTCATTGCTAGCTTGTCATGAAATTAGCGAATACTGCTTACGCAGCACAGTCCACAGAAGCTGTTTGTTAGCAGAGCCATACGTTATTGAGTTAATGATTTTCCTGTATGTTCAGGGCTGCTTCGTTTGCTGACTCTCGACATATTCTGTCTACATACAGCTGCGCTGCTGAAACACAGAGTACAGTGGAAAGTTGGTGATGTTAATGGTCTTCCAGGCAACAGAGGTATTTATAGGTGACCTATCGGGTCAGCTCAGCAGAGGATTATAGCCAGCTGCAGCTCTATTACCAAACCACGTACAACTTTATATGGAACATACTGCCATTCATAATTTGGGAGTATTAATATTTTTACATAGTCTCTGCGTATTAGCTGTTTGCTCATCGCTAATGAGGGTCAGTTAGGCCAGATAAAGCCGAGGAGTGTTTCCGCTAGCTACCAGCTGCAGTCTCATTACCAGTTTATGATATTTCTGCCACAGTAGAAGTTCCATGTGCTGTGTAACAGGTCTGTATACACAAAACATGCACATGGTCAATCTGTAATCCACAGAGACACACAAAAGTGAAGTTTTACGCTGAGTTCTTTTCCTCCGTCTCTTTCTCCGTCCTCTCGACCAGACTCGACCAAAGGCGACGATTTCTCCAATGAGCTCCCCTCTTCTTCATCTTCCTCTTCATCCTCCCTTCCCTCTTCTCTTTTGATCTCTTCTTTCTCGCCTTCTTCCTCTGACCTCCCGGTTTCCTCCTCTCTCCCTCACCCCGAAACCCCTCTGAGCCCCATTGCCCTTGGAAACCTGCGGCTGGAGGTCGCCGCCCCTCATTACCATAACAACCAGCTCCAGGTGAAGGTGTTCTGGAAGTGGCCTCAGCACGGTGAGTCGGTCTAGAAACACTAAACAACTGAACAAACTCCTGGTAAGAATATAAAAACATTCAACTTGAATAAGAGTAAAGTCAGTCGGCTCGAAGCTTTATTATGTGTTAGATAACCCCACAGGTCCACTATAGTAACTCGAATTAGCGTAAGCTGAGCCTTCCAGCCTCTGACTTTTAAGGCTTAATCAATTTCAAATGCATGATTTTTGTTTTTGCACTGAAATGTTGAAGTCACAGAAAAAACAACAGTTAGTTCTTCAAATCAAGCTGATAACAAGTTAAAAAAGTTTTCTATATCATTCATTTTTACACAAAACTTATCTCTTTGGTCTTTTCGCTAACAGTGAGACAGAGACACGCTGGCCCGTACATTTTGAGGTGGCGACCGCATACCTGCAGCACTAATGTGACGAGCATGGAGAGAACAGCTACGGTGCAGGTATACGCACACGGGTGGGGGCTGATCTGTGCGTTTGTAACACTGTAAAGATGTGTTGTTATTTTGTAACTGCAACTATGTGTGTGTGCACGGATTAGACATCACATTTCATCACCGTAACACAAATAAGTACATTTCTATGGTGCAGTACAGTTCAGTCTGTGTGTCTCTAAGAAATACTCGATACACTTTTGATATTACAAGCTGCTTATGAGACACGTGTGGAGACAAGAATGTGTGTGTCAGTTTAGACTTTAACTATAAACCTTTATTATCCTGAACTTGGCTTAATTTCCCATCTCTCCAGGGCACTCATCACACCATCACAGGTTTGCTGTTTGCCTGTAAGTACCGGGTTGCTGTGGCGCTGAAAGCTGACCCACGGTCAGAGGCTGTTGCCTGGCTTACGACCCCGACTTGCTCCTCTGTCAGGGTCAGAGGAGGCAAAAGTTTGCTGTGCAACACTGAGAGTAGGGGTAACTATTTACAGATGTATTTGTGGTGTTTTAAAATACCTTTTTGATGATCAGTTTGAATACAAGCACTGAAAAACCACAACATTCAAGTCGTTTTTTGCAGTTAAGTAGTTGAATCAAACTCTTTAATTTAACCTGGTTTTAAATCATTCAGATAATGTTTTGGCTTTCCTTTGCATCAGAGCGCCTCCTGTCAGGCAGAAAGGTAGTACTGCGTCCAGAACGACTGACCGCAGACTTCCAACAGGTCAACGGTACTCTGCTCGCCACCTTTCGCTGGAGGTTGTCCCAGCACGCGCTTCACCCGACAGCTGTCGAGGGTTTCCAGTTTACCTGGACGCTTCAGTCAGAGGTTTCGGGGAAAGCCGATGGACTGGAAGACACGCTCATCTCCCAGACACAGACTATCGCACCGGTGAGACAAAGCGAAAGCGTAGATAGTCACAGCTAAAATGACTAGAGACGGTGTGTTTGTGTGTTTGTGTGAGTCAAAGAAGAGTTTCACGTCCTGTTTCTTTTTTGCCTTTGTCTTTTAGAGAATTAAGCTTCAGGGAATCAAAGATGAAATGAACAAAAAAATAATCACTCAATAAAAAATATAATAAACATTACCAGACTTCAGAGCTTACTATTAAAAACCCATCAATGACACACCGTTGATTGTAGTTTATTACTTTTTTAGTTGTGCTGCTAGAACATCACACACATGCTTGAATCTCATGCTGATGCCACTACTGAAAAAGTTCAACAAAGACTGTTCTTTTTAAGGAAAATGAGATCTTTTAATGTCTCATCTGAGATGTTGTGTTTGTTTATAGAAGTTTTATTGAATCTGTGACGTCTTTTTGTATCGCTGCCTGGTTTGGTAACCTGACGGTGAAGAATAAGAATCGGTTGGGACTTCTGGTAAAAACTGCTAGCAAAATTTCAGGGCGCTGGCAAGATGGACTTTTGGCCATTTACAATAGAAATGTGCTTAGAAAGGCTCATTCTATTATTAATTGTGTGAACCTCCACTTCACAGTGAGTTTGAGTTGTTGCCTTCCGGCCCCCGTTTTAGAGTACCTGTGAGGAAGACTAAAAGACTCCAGGTCTCTTTTATCCCCACTGCATCTTGTCTCCTCAATGGCAAATAACTGTCCTTGGACTTTCTATCATTATTATTGTCATTATTATTTTATAGCATTGTTCTGTTTATTTATATCCTGCTGCTAAACTAATTTCCCCCTGTGGGACAATAAAGAAATTGAATTGAAATTGAATTGAATTGAAAGTAGTCCCCAACAAATGTTTAATTTACCTCTGTTTAAATATCCTGTGCTTAAAACTACAGTGCTTACCAACATTTATATATATATATATAATTGTGACCCACTTTGTGATAGAGGTTGATAGGGCTTAGTAAGCAGCACCTTAAAGGGATGAACCTGGAGGTGGAAGCTAAGAGGAATTGTTACCATTTGATTGATTGATTGAATCTTTATTTTGAACATGTTGAAAAAGTACAACAACATAGAATTAAAAAAGACAAATGAACAAAGCAAAACAAAAGGAAAACGAGCAACCACAACTACAAATAACTTTCATGTTCAAAAAGGAGCAGGAAGAAGCATAAGCTTATTTAATCCCACC